AAACACCAAGCCTGGCTCCTCAGACTGGCCTCAAATTCACAAGTCTCCTGCCTGAATTTCACAATTATAGTTTTCAATCTTGGAGGTAGATGGTAGAGTGTGCTGGGGCTCGAAATCAAGGTCTTACACTTGCTAGGCAGGTGTAACGTGCCAATGCATTTGAGACATTCCCCAAGCTCTTTATGCTTTAGTTATTTTTGAGAAAGTCTCATGTTTATGCTTGGGTCTGGCCCTGACTGCAATCCACCGGAAACAGGATAAGCTATAGTATATTTAAACCAAGTTATAAAAATCACACATAGATATTTAAGTAGAAAGATATAACAAGAAAGGCAAAACAAAAAATTATGTATGCCTGTAAATTCTTTGAAATCAAATAAATTAAGAGGGAAAAGACACATGCATATGATTACAACATATGCACAGTATTTAAAAAAATACAGATATACAATTGCTCATGCCCATAAACAAAAACATAAATAACAGCTAGAAAATATGGGCTGAAAGATATATAAAAGACTGGAGGAGGGGGCTGGGAAGGTGGCTCAGTGGTAGAGTGCTTGCCTCATATGCATGAGGACCTGAGTTCAATTCCTCAGCACCACATAATCATAAAAAGGCAGAAGTGGCACTGTGGCTCAAGTGGTAGAGCACTAGCTTAAAAAAAAAAAAAAGACTGGAGGAGGAGCTGGGAAGGTGGCTCAGTGGTAGAGTGCTTGCCTTGCATGCATGAGGCCCTGGGTTCGATTCCTCAGCACCGTATTAAGCAAAAAAGGCCAGAATGACGCTGTGGCTTAAGTGGTAGAATGCTAGCCTTGAGCTGAAGAGCTGAGGGACAGTGCCCAGGCCCAGAGTTCAGGCACCACAACTGACAACAAAACAAAAAAGACTGGAGGGGTGGTTGAAGTGGTAGAGCATCTGCTTAGCAAGTGCAAACCCCTGAATTCAAACCCTAGTACCAACAACCACCATAACCACACACACACAGAGTTTTAATTTTTTCTACCCAAGAGTTAAATATGTAGTTATAGATTACATGGCCCCTTCATTTCCTTCGTCCTATGTGTTACCATTTTGCTGAACAGACTCCCAAATCTGAAGGCTATTTCTACCCTGTAAGTGTGTTGCTAATATTTACTCTTCAATTATTGCAGTAATTTTTACACAGAGGAAGAGGAATGAGTAAAACTACTTTCTTGGGTAAGGAAGGATCTTACCTGAGTCACTGATGATGATAAAAGATAACCATGGACAAGATCATTTATTAGAGCTGAAAAATATCAATTTTTGAGAGAAACACACACACACACACACACACACACAAATGGTGCAATCAGTAAAAATAAGGCTAGAAATATCCCAACGAGGCTGGGAAGGTAGCTCAGTGGTAGAGTGTTTGCCTTGCATGCATGAGGCCCTGGGTTCGATTCCTTAGCAGCACATAAGCAAAAAAAGCCGGGAGTGGCGCTGTGGCTCAAGTGGTAGGGTACTAGCCTTGAGCTGAAGAGCTGAGGGACAGCGCCCAGGCCCAGAGTTCAAGCCCCAGGACTGGCAAAAAAAAAAAAGAAAAAAGAAAGGAAATATCCCAACGACTATAGTAGGATCTGAATAAAAGAGCCTAGATCAACTCTGCAAAACTCAATCATAGACCAGATTTGAGTTTTCCCATGCACATAGGACAGTACTACAGGTTAAAGTCACCTACCAATGGCATCAGAAAGCTCCTCCTCTTCCTCTTCTTCCTCACCCTCAGTTTTGTAGTAAGACTCCCACTCTGACATGTTGGTTTCTGTTCACTAGGTAAAAGAAATTAAGATGAGGGCTGGGAAGATGGCTCAGTGGTAGAGTGCTTGCCTTGTACGCCTGAGGCCCTGGGTTCGATTCCTCAGCACCACATAAGCAAAAAGAAAAAAGCCGGAAGTGGCGCTGTGGCTCAAGGCTCAAGTGGTAGAGTGCTAGCCTTGAGCTGAAGAGCTGAGGGACAGCGCCCAGGCCCAGAGTTCAGGCCCCACTACCGGACCCAAAAAATAAATTAAAAAAAAAAAATGCTCAGGAAAAGAAGAGCACTGGGGGCTCATGCCTATAATCCTAACTACTCAAGAGGCTGATATTTGAGGATCACAGTTCAAAACTAGCCCAGGAAGAAAATCCATGAGACTCTGATTTTCAATTAACTACCTCAAAACCAGAAGTGGGGCTGTGGCTCAATGTGGTAGAGCACTAGCCTTGAGCACAGAAGCTCAAGAACAACACCCAAGCCCTGAGGTCAATCCCCAGGACTGGCACCAAAAATTTAAAAAAATGATAATAAAGATATGTGTTAACCAAGCTTTGGTGGCTCACTTATAATCCTAACTACTTAAGATGCTGATATCTGAAGATAATAGTTCTCAGCCAGCCCAGGCAGACAAATACACAGTTCTGTTGGTAGAAGGTAATGTAATGGTGGCGGTTTTGAGTAAGAGTCTTATTATGTTGCCCGGGATGGTATCAAAATCCTAGTTCCATGCCAGGCACCAATGGCTCACACCTAGAATTCTAGCTTTCTAGGGAGTCTGAGATAAAATGAGATATGAGCTATAATCCTCAGGAATCTGAGATCTGAGGATGGCAGTTCAAAGCCAATCCAGGCAGGAAAGTGGTCTGTGAAACTCTTATCTCCAATGAACGACCAGAAAAACGGAAGTGGTGCTGTGGCTCAAGTGGCAGAGTGCTCACTTTGAGCTGAAGAGCTCAGGGACAGCGCCCAGGCCCAGAGTTCAAGCCCCATGACTGACAAAAAAAAAAAAGCACACACACCTCGTCTGTAGGAGTTAATTATTTCTAAAAATAATATGTATGCACATACAAAATTAGCCACCAGTATAAAAGAAACTATAAAAGGGATATAGCAGCCACGTGCCAATAGCTCATGCCTGTAATCCTAGCTGCTCAGAAGGCTAAGATATGAGGATCACAGTTCAAAGCCAGCCTGGGCAAAGAAAGTCCATGAGACTCATCTCCAATTAACTACCAGAAAACTGGAAGTGGCACTGTGGCTCAAATGGTAGAGTCCTCTCCTTGAGCTGAAGAATTCAGGGACAGTGCCCAGGCCCAGAGTTCAAGCCCCACCCCCCCAAAAAAATGATACAGCAACTGTGCACTGTTGGCTCACACCTGTAATCTTAGCAACTCAGGAGGCTCAGATCTAAGAATCACAATTCAAAGCCAGCCCAGGCAGAAAAGTCTGTGAGACTTTTAGACTTTTTTTTTCCAATTAAGCACCAAAAAGCCAGCAGTGGAGATGTGACTCAAGTGGTAAAGCAGAAGCCTTAAGTAAAAAAGCTCAGAAACAGTGCCTGGGCCCTGATTTCAAGCCCCTCTCCTTCCCCCAAAAAAAATTAGCAACAAAAGCCTCAAGCTCCTAGAGCGAGAGACTCTCATTCCTGTCTGTCTTTGTCCTCAGTGGCTTGTCAGAACAGGTGGCCAGGAAGGGGTGTGTGTGTACTTGTTACTCAGGATGAAATCCAGAGCCTCACTGAATTCCACCCTCAGCCCTAGTAAGTGTTGATTATAGAAATGATTTCGGCTTGAATTCAAGCTTGAAGATTAAAGTAGAATTTATTCAATTCTGAGGGTAGTTTTAGTTTTATGTTTTAATGTCATCTATTGTGCTTTGTTTTAGATTTTTCTTGTTCATTGTGTCAACAGTTTGATATCCACTGAGTGAATGAGTTTTGGAATCCTGCAGTTTCTTTCTGGGAAAATGAAGGCGTGTGGCTTTTAGGGCCTGGAGTGCTCTTGAGTCTGCTCATTGTTCCCACCCTCACCTTTATTCCCGACCCTCCCCCAGTAGTGGGGCCTGAACTCTGGGCATGGGGGATGTCCCTCTGCTCTTTAGCTCAAGGCTAGCATTCTACCACTAGAGCCACAGCACCACTTCCAGCTTTTTCTGCTTCTGTGATGCTGAGGAATGGAGCCTGGGGGCCTCATGCATGCAAGGCAAGTGCTGTACCACTGAGCCACCTTCCCAGCCACCCTCACCTTTCTTTCCCCATCCCTTGACCTGCCAACTTCTGTTCATCCTCACAATCTCACCTCTGACCCTCAGCTCCAGATTTTGCTCATGTGTCCCTCTTTTGCCCTGTACACTCCATTAGTAACATTGCTCATCCTCTTCTAGAATTGCTCATTTTTTCATCTGTGTCCACATACCCTTCCTCTCCCTACAGACAGACTGGAAGCTCCATGGGGTGAGAACTGCATCCTCAAGTGTCTGTAGCAGTCTAGCATTGGGTGATCTCTAAGTGGGTGAGTGGTGGGCTACTGCGCTGCAGAGCTACAAGGCCTGGCTGATAACACCTGGGCGTGATTAAGCTGTGACCCTCTCAGTACTGAGGAAAAGAACTCAAATGTTAGGTTTACTCTAGGAAGAAATCCTGCACTCGCTCCAAAGAGTTCCTGTACTAGAGTATCAAGTGTGTTTTTTCCTCTCTTGTTTTTTGTTTTGAGGGATTTTGATTTTTTGTTTGTTTGTTTTTTCTGAGGCCTAAAACTGAATGTATTGCACACGTCCACAGGCTTGGAGACGTATGGCCACATGATCACCCAGTCCCCAGCTTGCGGAGGAAATCCTAGTGGGAAATAATCTGCTTCTATACTGTGCTAATGCCATTGAGCCTAATTCAGATCCCCAAATGACCTGTGCCCTACTTCTGTCTCAAAACTATACCTTCCTTCTTACTTCCACTTTGGTCTGGTCAAAAAAAAAAAAAATTAAAACTCAGTCCAGTTAATAAACCTTTTTCCTACCCTACCAATAAAAACATTATGAGAATGAGAATAACTGTGAGAGTTTTTAGAGGAAGAAATAAAAGAATGAGGGACTGGGAAGGTGGCTCAGTGGTAGAGTACTTGCCTTACCTGTATTCCTTATAAACAGGAAAAGCCGGAAGTGGTGCTGTGGTTCAAGTGATAGAGCACTTGCCTTGAGCTGAAGAGCTGAGGGCCAGCGCCCAGGCCCAGAGTTCAGGCCCCATGACTGACCAAAAAAATAATAATAAAAAGAATAACAAAAAGGATTTTTCCAGCCATAATTCCCTATCACAATGCTATAGATGGATACGGTGGTGGTGGTTGGTGGTGGTTTTGAGATAGTTTTATTCTGTTGTCCAGGCTGCTATCAAACTCCTGGTTCAAGCAATCCTCAGCCTCAGCTTCCTGAGTCGCTGGGACTACAGACCATGCCACCCCATCCCATTGGGTGGATGAAGTCTCAAGTGCACCTTGATGCAAGGGGGCATGACCTCATCTTGTAGGCTAATTAATGATTAATGAAGAGAATTAAAAGAAGACTAAAATAAGGTTATTTCCTGCAAATGTTGAGTCAATTTATAGATTTAAAGTAACTAACAGGATGATCTCTGAAGCCCCTGTACAAATTAATATGTGTGTTTGTGCCTGCCAGCTGACCCGCTTTGTCATTAAGTGTGGGTGCACGAGAGGCAGACCCAGGCGGAGCCCCGTATGCCAGGACTGCAGTCATTTGAGTAATCAGGGCAGGCAAGAGTAGGAGTAAGAACTTTGGCCTCAGTAGTTCTTCCTGTCAACCAACAGGACTGACTAAACAGACTAGATCTCAACAGATATTCATGCAGCATCTGGACTCGGGCACTCTCATGGCTGCTAGAGTTACAGGGATGCATAAGAAACTGTTCTTGTCAGCAAGTGCTGGTGGCTCACACCTATAATCCCACTACTTAAGAGGCTGAGATCCGCAGGATCTCTGTTTGATGCCAACCTCAGCAGAAAAGTCCTTGAGACTCTATTTCCAAAATAACTAGCAATATCAGACTGGAGGGGGAATGCTATGAGGGGCTTTCTTTTTTTTTTTCTTTTCTTTTTTTTTCAAGAAAGCAGGTGGCTCTGTTCTCAAAGAACAAGCTAGGTATGGTGGTACACACCTGTAATCCCAAGTACCTGAGAGGTGAGAGGAATAAATAGATAAAAGGATCAAAGTTGGAGCTGGGAAGGTGGCTCAGTGGTAGAGCACTTGCCTTGCATGCATAAGGCCCTAGGTTTGATTCTTCAGCACCACATAAGCAGAAAAAAGACGGAATTGGCTCTGTGGCTCAAGTGATAGAGCACTATCCTTGAGCTGAAGAGCTGAGGGACAGTGCCCAGGCCCAGAGTTCAGGTCCCACAGCTAACCAAAAAAAAAAGCTCAGGTGATAGCTAAGTGGTAAAGCTCTTGTTTAGTGCAAGACTCTACGTTCAAACACACACACACACAGCCTTTATTGGACATGTAGTAGATGCCAGGCACTGTGCTAGCCATATTTCTCCTATCATTTCATATGTTTAAATATGCTAGTAAATCTATATGGTTTATGATTATTTATTAGAAATATGTTATACTTGTGTATGAATATAGTTACATAATGAAATGTCTGAGTGGCCTTCTCTCTACTCAACATGGTTTAATACCCAGCTTACTGAATAGAGCTACATATGTACATGAGAAAATTTCTGTAATATATATTTGTATATATACACTTGTATCTAATTCTATAGTATAGTCTATGTACAAATAGACTATATAATACAGAAAGATTCCTCTATTTCTGTTATATTACATATCATAATGTATCTTATAGAAATATACATTTTTATATGTTTACATGTATGTTTATAAGGATTCTGTGATGATATATTTCTGTGTGTATGTATATACTTATATTGGTCAGGCAGGGCTGTTTTGGTGGAGAATGCCAGCAGGACTTAGCTTTGCATTGATGATCTGAGAAACACTTTTGACCTTTGGCTCAAAATCGTCTGGCTGTCTGTGACCTCCAGCTTTGCCAAGTTCTTGCTTGGCCACATGTCATCTCTTTTAAGCATAGGAATATTGGGAAGTAGGCATTATTATTGTGTCTTTAAAAAAAAAAAGAACAGGGAACTAAGATTTCAACAGAAACCTTACATAAAAATCCAATAGAAATTTCTACAGTGATAGAAATGTTCTAGACTCGGGCTGGGAAGGTGGCTCAGTGGTAGAGCGCTTGCCTTGCATGCCAGAGGCCCTGGGTTCAATTCCTCAGCACCACATAAGCAAAAAGAAAAAAGCCGGAAGTGGCGCTGTGGCTCAAGTGGTAGAGCTCTAGCCTTGAGCCGAAGAGCTGAGGGACAGTGCTCAGGCCCAGAGTTCAGGCCCCATGCCCGGACCCAAACAAAAAAAAAAAAAAGAAAGAAAGAAATGTTCTAGACTCTACTGTCCAATCAGTAGCCACCACCCCTACATAGGTCTCTGAAGAACTTGAAATGCAGTTAGGCTGAAGGTATACCTTTTATTGAATTTTAATTTTAATGACTACTCTGTTCGCTAACTCAGGCTGACCCTGAGCTTCTACAAGGGCTCTCTGTGGTTTAACCTGTTACCTCTGCTCATCCTCACTTTCCTCTCGCCACTCTGGCTTCTTTCTAGTTTTTTAAATACACCTTACAGGCTCCACCCCTTCAAGGCTCTTACCCCCTTCAAGCCTTTGCTTGGATGTCACCTATGCAAAAAGACCTGTCCATCCAGCGCTCCCTACACTCCCAACATCCCTTCCCTGCGCTTGTTTTATTCTGTCCCTTCACTGTTGTTACATGCCTTGACATTGTTGCTTTACTGTTATCAATTTATTGATGGTCCCCTCCCCTCACTAGTATCATGAAAGGAATTTTGTCTCCTTGTTAACCAATGTATTCCTTTGCCAAAAATAATGTCGAAAACATAATAGCCACTGTCTCACTGGTTAAACTAATAGAATTCACATCTGGCCAGCCTCCACCAGAACCCACATTTTTACTCATTACGCTCTTTCTCTTAGTGAGTGTAATGTTTTTCCCAGAGTGAATGAGAGAAGCTTCATTTGGAATGAACAGGCAAGAGAAAGGAAATATTTCTCATCTGCTCACTTTCACAAACCATTTTATGTCTTTAAAGAAGTAAACTACTGGGCTAGGAAGGTGGCTCAGTGGTAGAGCGTTTGCCTTGCATGCCAGAGGCCCTGGGTTCGATGCCTCAGCACCACATAAGCAGAAAAAAAAAAGCC